GCTCTGCATGATTTATCCCTGATTAGCACTTGTTTCGACTGATAAAAAAATATAAAACTTGCCAATCACTGTTGCATTGCTTGTATCAATGCTTCTCAATTGGGGCATCGGTTTATATTCCGAAATGGATCATCATTTATGGAACACTTTGACTGATAGCAAAACGCTTCCTACTATCTTTGCTTTCTGCACAACAAGCGCATGGCATTCTGGAGTGTTTCACAAAGAGGATGATCGGATTAAAGCATGGAAACAGAGAATAATAGTGAAGTGAGCTGAGATTTTATGGGAATGTGAAAAATAAAAACTATTAAATATCTCTAACAGTATTGTCAACGGAGATTATAATTCGCTAGCCCTTCGATTACTGTGGTAATTAATACCTCTATCGAAACGATGTTTTATTGTTGTTGTGGCATTCGTAATAAAAACAACACATGGTGAATCAACCTTCTGATTTAGTTACCGCATTGAATAGGACTTTAAACTATTGGATCGAGATTTAGTTCACATTTACGTACCAGGTACTTGTGCATAGCTGAGTGTCACTTTTGATGCTGATTCGAACTGACCATGCTCTAATTTACATTTTCATGCACAATACCCCGTTCATTCAAACAATTATAAACTTTAGAATCAATATACACGAACTTTGCTCTCATTAGTGCTCATTAGTAGTGCGTGTCCTCTGTGTCGTACTAGCTGTGGACCAAGAACCCATCGAAACGGTACATGAGCATGGCATAATACGGACCTTCAGCATAAACCCAATGAAAAAGTTCTAAATGCTCGATGTGACGGGAATTCCAATTTTTTTTCAGCTTACCTAGTAAGTACAGTATACAATGCAGAAACAAAATCCGACTACAGAAAGCTTAGAAAAATTCGTGTTGAATGGAGCAGTACAACGGAAACTCAAACCCTTGTATAAAAAAGGGCGATCACAATTAGTTCAAACAGGAATAGTTTGGTCGTGAAAACGGCTGTTTTATAGCTTTTCACATTCTACCAAATGTTTATCTGTGGTACTCAGTAATTGATGCACATGCCGTTTTTCCGAGTTACCAACTACTCTGAAATGTTATCTACATCAGAATGACAGAACCTTTTCATAAACTTTTGTTCTCTTAAAAAGATGATCGCATTACTGGCTGACAGAAAACAGTGAGCAACTGCTTCTTTGTTTTTGTAGCTCGTCGGTAGTGTTTACTTTTGGAAACCTCCCTCAGTGTGAATCACGAAATTTCAAGTAGCTGTTCGTGGCTCTTATCTGTGAAATGTACAGCCAGCAGGGTCTACCTTGACCGCGTGGTGCATGGCTTAAACGAACATCTATTTGTATTTGCGTTCAGCTTCATGCGTATGAAGAGAAAATACCTGGAAATCCGATCACTTGAGTTTATGTTTTCACATAAGTAGCAGTTCGGATGTACCAGATCTGTCTTAGTCTATGATGTCATTTTTTTCCTTTTACATCTTGGTTTTGTTTCCTGATTCACATAGACCAAAACGGTTGTCAATGAGCGAATACATATCGTATTGAACACGTTGAATACCAAAATTACAAGGTAAACCAAAGGTACGAGACACAACGATACGACTGATCAGGATGCGTGCTTCTCTTCAGTCGTACCACAGAAAGAACTCATTATTGCCACTATAGAGCAAAGTACCCTCTTGTGTACTCCAAACACTGGCCACGTCTGAGTCGTAGTCTATTGATCTAAACTGGTCACCTCATCAAACAATTGGCTAGTGATGGCCTAGCAAAGATTGTGTTCAAACCGTGAGTGATCCACTCAGTCAGGCTCATTAAATATACGAGAGCAATGCTATCAGAAAAATAAATGGAACAACCTGTCACATTAATTTACACAGAGATTATACGATCCTCATTCGGTAATACTGTTTGCCAGAATACAAGATCTGATGCAGTGATAATACTTTCATCAGAGAGGAAATTTTAACCTCTTTTGGTATAGCTCACCTTACATTAGCCCTTATTTGCTATCGCAGCTTGATGCATTGCATACACAAAGGACTTTTAAGCAATTCAGAGGAACAACTGAAGACCACTAAATCTGTAGATTTCTTTTTATTGATGATCATATCTTCCTGAACTAGCACAAATGCTGTATCATTCGTTTTTCACCATTACTCCACACGTTTTATAGGAGGTCAGTGCACTTACAGTAGTTTTTTTCAAATCGAAGTCCTAAATTCCAATTACCAAAAGGAAATTACTCAGTCAGATTTTGTAGAGAACCCCTAAGTGGGTTTAAATCAACGTTGTTATTGAAAAGGAGCCAGGCATGACCGGTTGTTGACAAGTATCTCATATATAAAGCACCAAACTCTATACCCTCCAGATGATACCACAAAACCACTTCGACCGAGAGGTAACATTTCAAATAAACTACACTACTGACAAAATCCGAATGCGCAATGTAGCGGAAGCGGTCACTGTCACCTATGGGGAGCACTCTTTTGCCAACGGGGGAATTCTTCCTCTCATTGACTTGTCTTTCCTATTTATGGTAGATTATTCTCTAAGCCATTTGCCAACCCTTTATAGACATTAGATTTGTCCGTAAAACTATTCAGAATACGAATATTGTAAGATTGCTATACTGGCTTCGATTTTGTAGTAATACTATTGAAAGTAACACTATGAGTGGCGTTGGCAGATTTTTTTATAATTTTCAGAATTCGCTCAAAGTGTGAATTATACGGACTAGATACAGTAAAGTCATATGCTGCGTTCCTTTAGTTAACAGTAGGCAGTTGATGGCTGTTTAAAAATTTTCAGTTCACCGTTTGGGATGAGAGTTGTCTTCGGATCGCGTGCGTGGAGCACATCTCCAATACTATTATTCTCTCCCCAACATTTTCCTAAGATTTAATGGTACTTCGTTGTTCCAACTGGTCGCACTTTAGATCAAGAAAACTTATGCATTCGTGGACTCGGTCGAAAATGTTCACTAGGCTAGTTTTCTCTTCCGACTAAGGAAAATGTGTTGAGAGAACAGCTGGTCGTGCGCATAAACTCCGTTAGATGTATCGACATGTTCATATGGTTTTGCATCTGATGAAACAAGAATTGAGGGTTTGACTTGATAATAGAAGCAACTTTCTGAACAGATATCATGTGAAAAGTGAACTGGGTTGTTAGAGATTATATTTGACTTGTTCTCATTCAATAATCCAGAAACTTTTAGTCACATGTTGGCAACATGCCAAACATCTGGATCATCCGGGCAGAACCGAAGAAAAATATCGACACTAACTGATGCGAGACGCATGCTGCCAGAGGAAATAATTTTGTACACTTTCGTTACTCGCAAAGCGTATCACATCCAAGCAGCAAATGACAACAGAAAACATGGCATACAATTGCGCTGTAATTCGCTCGCAAAAATAGCTAACTGACGTTAGAATAAACCCAAGGCAGGGTGAGATAATGTGTCAATCTCTTTTGGAAACCCAGGTTTGACAACAAATGCTGGACATACTGTCTAATACTTCACCTTCTTTCTCTCTTTCCAAGCCTATGATGATCTATTTATTATAGTAAATAATAACTTAATTAAGCAAAATCTGAATTGGGATTAGAACCTTTCCGGCCAGTCCCTAACCCTGGGGACTAGCGCTGAGATGGATGAGGTTAGATACTTGGAAAGCTTGCAGAGAAGAGGGTTGTACTGCAGCGTATAAATAAAAAAACTGCTTGACCAGTTACTCTATAGTCCAATGGGTAGAGTGGTATCGTTCGAACAGCGAAGTTCTGAATTGGAAACCGCAGTATCCGAGTTAAATTCGCACCGCCGAAGTGCCCAACGAGGTCGCATAAGTGCTTCCACACCATTCAGTTCGCTGTTTTCCTTGCTCTGAACACAATGAACTACATAAGACAACAGAACACAAACAATTACGGTAAACGGGGTCCGATTTGCGAAATAAACAGCAAGCGAGTTGCCCGTTGAAATATGATGCTCCAGGAACGGAAAATAAAAACAAACATGAAGAAAATAAACAAATGCGTCAGATTGGATGGTTGAATGGATGGATGTGATGGGAAAAAAAGAACAGGGCCAGTTAGGCAGATGGGGGAAAGAGCGGGACAAAAATGATCAAAGAAGTACGGGGGTCGAATCAAATGAATGATTGCTTTGAATGAAACTGTTTTCAGATTTCAAGACTGTCTATTTAACATGCTTTATTTGAGCTGGGGGAAGAAAGAACGAGAAGCGTCTGGGGAGCGTGTCTGTCAAGATACGATTGCCTAATTTTGATAGAAAGAGAACAAATTGAAACAAGACTGCCAGTTGCATGTATTGCTTTGGCACACTGTACAAGCAATTGTGTTGCATAAATAAGTTCATACTGCTAGTAGTTGTTTATTCGCATTAGGTAGCTCAATGCATGCTTAGTTTGAAATACGCAAAGAAAGACGCAATACTTGGTTGGGTTCAAATTAATCCCAATGTCTGATAGGGGTAGAAATAAGGGGAATCAATGGAACGAAAGTTCCCGGATTGGACAGGGGAAGAGATTCAGATTTGAAGGCAGATGCAACGTTTAGTACTAGTTGACTATGCACATGCTCATACATGGACATCATACCGTCCGATGGAAGCACAGAAAATGTCTACAATTTTCACGCAATCAGAGGCTGTGCACCCAAAACTTAGGTGGGCTGTGCAGTGGTGCAAGTTCTTCTCGGTAAGAAATGGAATTGGTCAAAGACAGAGTGAATGAGCGAGTGATCGGGAAGACGGGGAATAAAACAAGATGAAATCAGCTTCCCAACACCACCGTAAATGAGATTGGCCGTGTATTTTGTACAGATAGTTGATTGGATTTTGGTGAAAGCAATACGTTACAAAAAATGCACATGATCCAAACTAACACTTTCCAAAAGAAATGGTTAATCGACTTGTGACCGGTCAGCACATGTGGACCTGCTTTGTGTGAGAGGGAGANNGGTTGAGATTGCCCAATCAGCAGTCGAATTGATTTTGTGTAATCTGATTAAGATCCTTCATCAGACCTTCCAAATTGGCCATTTCCTGGTTCAACTCCTCAGCACTGTATCCCCGCTGTCATTGTGCATGGAGATTGCATGAATGGAAAACGGAAAACGTTTGGAAGGTTGATACAGAAAGGATATGTCGAAGTGTGCTAATACTGCTATTATAGATATTATCTTTGCTTATATTTAAGAACTACAGAAGAATCAAATATTGATATTTTGCGGTATATTTTAACAAGAGCGTTTTATAAAAAAATGTAGAAAAAAAGCGTGACATAATTCATCCGATCAAGTATGGCGTTTCTTGCCATATGAGGCTAATATTCGTAGTCGATCGGATGATCTTCTATTCATTACTAATCGCATCTGATGATCTTTATTAATAATAATATTATATTATATATTATATTATTATTACTATATATTATATTATATTAATATTAATATTAATATCGTATCCGTGATTCTTGAACGTTTACCTGTTGCTGGTCACATTCCTCACTACTAGTCCATGCCATACTTTTTACATGTGACTCTACGTAATGAACTCAAGTCGTTTATCATGCTATGTTCTGTGCCCTCATTTTTCTACTCTACCCGTATCACATGCCATAACTTTCATGAATCACCAACTTGCTATTCTTGTTTATGAAACACCTCGGTGCGATGAACAGAAGAAGGCAAAAAACTCTGGCGCTTGGTCATTGGAACTCTCAAGCTGAACCTTGGAAATCCAAACAGTGAGCTAGAATAAGTCACAGTTTGGACATAATAAGAGAGAATGAACGTTGCCTCAGCTAGAAGAAAGCGAACCTAACTGTCTGTCTTCATTAACGACACTTTTCTTGTATTTTGCACACATTGGATCAGTTTCATCATAGATCCAAGTGATTGTTCGAAGGCTATGTACAAGAATTCCAAAATAACAACAACTGTGATTGTAAAATCCGATATTTTAAGTAGATTATAATTCACAATAGAAAACTAAAAATTGAATGAACCCTACTAGGAAATCGAAAGAAATAGTATTATGATATTTTGCAATTTGTGTGTGACTGACGGCCACTTCATTTCTGATGGTTATTATATAACATAAATTTTGGATGCTGCTCACCATTAGTTCTTTCTCGGATATACTGTCGGGTGTATCCGGAGTGTGCTCCCGTTCAAATCCGGATGGAGCAGTCATCAGTTCACTTTTCTTTAACAACGGAGATTGTAGAAGCTTTTCGGTTGCGTCCGATGAACCCAGATACTCTTCGCGATTTCCCGGGAGACGTGCATTTATTTGGGTATTTAGTAAATCTCCCGCAGCCAGTCGACTGAATGGCGCAGGTCGGGGAGTGGGTTCTGGTGTGGGGACACGGTCCAAGGCAAACGAAAGACCGACTCCAGTCAACTGGGAGTCCGGACCCAAAGGAGTGCTGGTGTTTGAAGCCGGACGCTCAGGGGAGAATCCAAAACCTGCATTGCTAGATGCACTTGACGGATTGCCTAGTATAATGGCCCAAGAGATAAGCAACACAAAACAAATAAAATTTAAAGATTGTTTTTGTCCCTTATAAACCAATAAAAATCCAAAATATACTGGCATATCATACTGAAACAGGTACTTCGAATGGAAATGAAGTGATATAACTTACGTTAAAGGATTCTCACTACTTGTTAGTAGTAAGGCTCTTAATACTCCTCTACTTTGCGCCTTGCATACAGCGTACATTTTCTGAGTCAATTATATTTCCCATCCAATGGGAAGGTCATGATTTCGTGCAAAAATGTTACCTTCCATACGATTTATTTTAGGTACTTGTGCTGTCACTTTTGAAATAAGATCATCTCGGTATAAATAAACTCATCGGCACTTGTTTCTTGCGTGAATTTATTTGGTCTACGGTAAATTTATTTTCCGTTTTCTGCTTCCGACATACATTCTGGCCAAAGACTCCAGTGTCACTGTTCACATTTACTGTGCAACTCTAATTGAAATCCCCGATAAATCCTTTTCTCAGTCGATGCGTTGGTTATTCATCATCTTTATTTCCTAAATCTAAAACCTTTGCATTTTCCTTAAACTTGTTTGTGTTGTCTTCGTCGTTGGTATTGTTAGCTTTGGAATCTGACGGTGGAAAGCAAGGCATATAATACACTTACTTGAATCCATCCGAAATAATCGTCTATGGAGAATAACTATAGGCTAAATTGGTAGTATACTTAGTATAGAGAAGACGTCATATTTATGATTCATAATCAATAAAGGTTTTAAAGCATTAGAGTATATCAAGAAATTGGACCAAGCTTTTCCCGTGATGAATATGAAAAGAGAAGCCAGTATAGAAACATTGCACGATTTATGTCCTGGACGATTTCGCTGCATCTCAACTGGTGCCTACTGCAGACAAATACAATGTTTATATATGGTTTGGGAATGAATTACAAAATAAACACTTGTAAATGGGGGAAAGCCTCACTAAGGCAAAGCCAAGGTGATGAACAAGTCTTCTTGTTGACACAGAATTGGTTACCATCGGTTGATTGCAATCGCCTCGGCTATCTTGAGCATTCTGGTGTTATCGCCGGTAAAAATCACTCGAAATGCTTTCTCACGATCCACGATGTGTTGCGTCATCAAAAAGTGCTTGGCAATCGAATATCTTGGTGGTTTGTAATCACGGACCGTATCAGTTACCGGTTGCGTGGACTTTGTCATGGCAACCTTGCGTTGAACGCAGTTCGGAATGTGTTCTAAAACCCGAATACATAATGACCTTTCTGTCATGCCTGTGTAAGTGTCTGCGCACCCACATTGTGATTGATAGATTCTAGATAGACGAAGTCCACAGAGCTGGTNTTTATTTTGTAATTCATTCCCAAACCATATATAAACATTGTATTTGTCTGCAGTAGGCACCAGTTGAGATGCAGCGAAATCGTCCAGGACATAAATCGTGCAATGTTTCTATACTGGCTTCTCTTTTCACATTAGATTATAGTCTATTCCTGAGTCTTTTTTTAAATATTTTGAAATTGCATTATTCCTCCACCGAAGTAGAACTCAGTTCTTTACTAGATATAGAACGGAATAAATCTACGGTACCTCTTAGGAGCACGACTGGCTTTCTGATTGGCTGACTGATCGCAATTTGCAGATGCCTTCATGTTTTAGTGTCGTGGTAAGAAATTTGGAGTGACTAAATCAGGATAACTTAATAACCTAATCAGTGATGCGGTTAAACCGTAAATGTGTTTTTGCAAAATCTACCAACGCCTGTATCACTGATGATCTGACAAAACCTGTGCGTGCACCCCAGCACACAATATAATTGCTGAATTCCTGAATGTGTGGTGATTGTCAATCGATTCATATCACTTTCTATGCAAAACCCATATGTTCCGGTATACTTTTTGTTGTTTACCTTCCAAATATCCCCCCCTATACTAAACTATAATGTTAGTTATAATGTTTATAGCCTTAATCATCACTGGAATCTTTGTCATTCTCTGTATTCCCTTTGTTACTACGATTCCGCACAAATTATGCGTATAATTCTTGTTTGTTTCATTCTGTCACCGCAAAATCTTGATTGATTAACACAACAGAAATCAGGTGAGGAATTTAGGCCACCAACAATTGTGCATTCGTTTCATAAGACGGGTTTTCTGTCGAATACCATTTTTTCCTGAATCGAACTGTATTACTTTATTACCCGCATAAAGGCTTCTAATTCACACTTATCTGCAATGAGCTTCACGTGAGAAATATGAGTCCTTTATTAGCACAAATCAATTAGGATCTTAAACGCATTATGCAGTAATTCATTCTTATTGGTCTGTCGACAGACAGAGATGGGGATCAACTCACTCAAACTGCTTTGTTGAGACGCATAGTCCGAACTCATCACATTCACTCGGGTTGGATTACCGAAATTGCCGATTCGATGCTTTTGTTGAATTGTGGGTGATACATCAACCATAACATTCGATGTTACACTCGACTGAATCGGGCGACCCATTTTGTACTCAGAGATTTTGAGAGCTGAAAAAATATAACAGGAAGCAATTAATACTTGAATGTGTTGTAATCACAGTGAATACTTTTTTCCTTATCCTTCGCTATTTCATGGAATGATGATTCGCACGGCATGAAATTTACGTAAAATCCGATATTACGTGTTCAAATGGGAACAGATTAAATCACACTTAGAGAAATTAAACCATGAAGAAATAAGATTTCATCTTCGCATGTGTTTGCTTGTTACATTTTTGTTATGACAGGTTACATTTCACCTTAGGTAGATTGGTTGTCTGACACTCCAAGATGATTCCTTCAGGGCATAGGAATTTATCCTGGGAAGTGGCAGGTCGGTTTGTGTGAGAACGGGAAAACAAGCATTGTCAAATGATTACGTAGCGAGAATTCGGGTCATATAGTAAGTGGAACCAAAACAAAACAGTAAGTGAGGTTAAAGGGAGGGAAGAGAATATCAGAATATCCAGTAGGATGAGGGTAAGTAATTGAGCTAACGGGCTGACACTACACAAGTCATCATTTGTTTTATATGAACAAGATTTCGCGGAACGTCTTAATTGCCGCTACCTCAGAAAACGAATGTCATATTTTAATTTTCGTTAGGTAGATCGAAGTCCTTTATTGGAATTGTGAAAGGTTTCGTAGTCTCAGTGGAATTCAAACCTACGCATGTTGTCCCAGTTAATGTGATGGACTAGTACAGGCGTTTAAATGATGCCAACCCTAGGACCCTAGAATCTTACACTGCTCTACTGCGATTTTTCCAACTATTTTAAAATATTTTCAGCGAGGATATCATGCAATAAACTGAGACTTCTTCCTAAGTATCTGCATCGAGAAAAAACTTCATCGCGCTAATTGATTCAGAGTGTAATAGCGAAGTTGCAGTAGGGTGTCTGCACGCAGAATATCTTAATTCCTTATGCGCTCTCTAAAAACTAAACGCGGGACCCGAACTTTTGAACGTCCTCACAGATGGCTCACAACAACCAAAGACGATTTACAGTCACTTTGGGTTCAGGAACCCATTCGGTCTCTTCTCAAAAGTAAATGGATAATCCATAAGCAACACTGAATAGTTGAGAAGGTTAAAACTCAATCTAAATTAGAGAGGTTAAGCTGATAGAAGGATAAGAGTCAACAAACAGCCTATCATCAACAGATACGACCGCTGTTTTAACCTCGTTCATTTATATCATTAGCATTATGAATCCACCTTCCACACGGAATATCATGCCCAACCTTTTACAGACAGAACACGAGTTTCAGCTGTCGAGCGTTCAATCAAACTTGTTAATGTGGCTTTTCTGATCAAAACGTAAATTCACCGTTTGACACAGAATACCTATAAGAAAACAAACTTCGGTTATTTTCCGACAAATATCGACGCTTTATTTTGCACTGCACGGTGACTCAACTCACCAGTCACTCGTTTTTGCACAATCCCCCCCCCCCTTACCNCCGACCGTCCTTAACCTTCTCCACTTGAGGATTCAGGCTGAATTTTCTCCGACAACAGGACGTAAACATCTTCCCACTGTCGACCTATATAGTGTCAACGGTGTGTTACATTTGATTGAGCCATAGCGACTAAAGCTCTCCTGCAGCGTTCATCACATGAGGTGGGCATAATTGTGTGTGTGCTTGGTGTGCGGACGATTGTACCTGCCCGGTTGGCCCAAGCAACTTATCTTTCTTTCTGCCGGTGAAACATTTTCATGGCGCCAAGCGGGCATTACATACACACAGAAGAGCACTTTCAAGCGTTGGATGATTCATTTGCAGAGGGAAACACCCGAGCATGCGCGTGGCCTTAGACGTGGTATATTCCAAAGTATTGCTATTAGCCAAATGTGTACAGTAAATCGAACATTGTCTAAGTTATTATACTTTTGAAAAATATAATTTTTGCAGGAAGTCTAAATAGTCCTGCTGAGTGATGGTGGAATTTTTATTTGCCATTTCCTATAGTTCTCGGAGTTTTATCTTCCGTCCCGGTCAGTTGTAGACTGCATGCCAATTGATGAGAGACAATTTACGCCAACCTCAACCACTGACATATATTTAAGGGTTTTTTATAAGGTCGTTCGACACCAGATCATATCTCAATAGACAGATATAAAATTTGCTGAAATAGCAGGGCCGGAATGGGAACTCACATTTTCCTCGGCCGTCGTATGTGGTTTGTACTGTGGAAGGGAAAACTCCAATACGCTGAGGACTAATCCCTCCGTGCAGTTTGTCCACATCTGATTTACCCAATCCCTGTAATGAACTTTGTTGGAATTTGCGCATTGATGCATTCCCATGAGTTTGTGATGTGGATAGATGAGTGAGACCAGCAGACGCCCTGCCAGCGGAACTGCTAGCTGGAGAAGAGGTGATGGCTTCGTCATCGTTTAGACTACCACTACCCGTGAATCCGTGATTGGCCAGCATACCGGCCCCATGTCTGGATTGCATGTATACAAATTCTGGAGATCGTTCTCCAGCTGAAAGCTGGCTGCCCTGTATGGGATTATAGCCGTTATTTGTATGTGTTTTCAAAAACGGAAGCTTCTTTTGTTGCTGCTGATGTTGGGATTGCTGTTGTTGTTGCTGCTGTTGGGTTTGTTGTTGTGTTTGCAAATTATGTTGGAGCTCACATGTTTCAGAGTGAATGTGATTTCCATGGCATTCGTTGTGAGCTGAAGCAAGGTAGGACAACGTCATATCACGTGGCGGTTGTAAAAGCGAGTGTATGTTTTCATTTGCACCCCTAGGCCAATTTTCGTGTTTGATGCATCCACCAGAGTGATCTGAAACAGAAAATCCAAAGACTGGTGTGATTTTGAGTTATTTGCGATTTAAGAGTAGACTACTGATACATCATTCAAGTAACATACTTGTAAATTACGAAAACTCACCTGTTCGTGGATAGCCGTGATTGTAACAGTCGTGCGATTCAAGAGCTCCGCGAGCCGATAACTTCCGCCCAAGTACTGGATCCATGCGCCTCAGCCCTCCACTACCGCAGCCACTTACGTCCTTCTCACTACCTGCCGGCGTTGAGTGTCTATCGTCCAAACAACCTCCCAATGTCATTTGGCACGAATGTCCAACTGAGATCCATTGAGGGTTACCATCTACTGAATTACAACACGTGCACTTGGCTTCATTTGGGCACGTGTGATTATGAGCAGTCAAGCCTTTGGATGACCATTCTGAGCACTGGCAAGAGGACGTCTGTGGGGGTGAAACAATATGACTGGAGTGATCATGTTTGTGCCGTGAATCATGTGTCGCACCACACGTTGTCTCGGGCAACCGAACTCCAAGTGGTCCAGGTTGGGAGCCCCCTGTCGCACTTCCACTAAGACTGCAGCTACCCAGGCATGCGTCCGGCATGGCGAAGTTATGAACTTTTTGACCGATATCAGCGGGTCTGTTCGGATCCGTGTGATAGAAATTCGGATAGGCTGCGAGGTATGGCTGTTTTGGTTGTTGTCTGTCGGTGAATGACGATAAAAAGAAACGCGAACAGAGTGATTGATCAGAGTTGATTATTGGAAACACCTATGATTCTGCCAAACTTCAATCATTCTTCAAATGCCTATTTCATATGCTCCGTTTTGCTTCCGAATGGGGAAATCCCTGAGAGAACTTAGTGGTTTTGGTTCCCGGCAGACTGTGCGGACGAAGCATACTGAGAAACAGACGGTGATGCGAACAATAATAGTGATGTTACTCTTAGAACGACGTATTTGGTATGGGAGCCAGTTAATGACTGATACCATTAGTCAGTGTGAGGTTCTTTATGGGTTACTTCTGAGCGTGCGAAGGACCGTCAATCAGTTTAATCGCTATGCTTCTGTAAGTACCTAGCTAGAGAACTCCAATTTCGTTTAGTTTCAACTGTCTACATGCGTAGATTAGATAGGGGGTCAGCGAGAGAAAAACATAGTGATTATTCATTACAATATGATTGGTAATCACAACATAACTTGAATATCCAACCTTCTCTTATAAGTTTATCAGATGGACTTCGTTGAATTTTAAGGAAACCTTCTCGTTACAGCCAACTTACAGGCTATCAGGTGGATTCCATATGCCTTTGTAGGTTGGATGGGTGATCAGTGTTATCGGTTTGTTCTCGTAACTCAGCTACTGGAGCGCCCACTGTGCCATGACCTGGGTAGAGTCGAATGTGCGAGTTCGAATCCCACCGAACCAAATGAACTTTTCACAACTTCAACAAAATATTTCAATCTGTCAATTAACATCATTTAAACGATCACAATTGTTCTGTTCTTGTTAACCAATTCGATAAGATGATTATGACCGTTATAGTTTGTTTCTTTAAGCAGACAAGTTCTACTTTCTTTTGCTTGCGCTCGCGGTTGCTTGGACATGCGGTTTCTAGATATCGAGGACAACAAACGGATCTAGGCTGATACCTAAATGGATTTGGGTCAGTAAAGCATAAAATTAAACAAATGGCAACTGATTCATATCTAGTGATACAGCCCATCAACAACAGCAATTCCATGCGTATAGAGAAATAGATCCAGTACCGATATCAGCCAAATATCACGCGATCCATTAAGGTGAAATGAATTCAAAAAACCATGGATATAATTCAGTTTTCCTCAAAAGTGAATGTTATTATTGTTACTATTATTATTATATTTTACAATCGTCTGAAGACAGACTGTGTGCCAAGCAACTCATGGTACAATAATTTTTATGAAATGTCTTGATTAACGAATGATTTTTCTTACCGGACTGATTTTACGGAGAATGGTTTTATTACTATTAATGGCTCCAATACTACCACTTTTAATACTACTACCACTACTACAACTAGTACTAATACTAATACTACTGGGGCGGTTTTTACGTGGGCAGTTTTGGAATTCGAGACTGAATAAATTGCTTCATATTTCCCCAACACATTGTGCATAACTAATTCAGGAACAGGAGACGATTAAAGCTGGAAGACTGGATGACGAACCGGGGATTTGACCACTTGATTTCTACCTCGAATGATGAAAACATTTGGCAATAGTGTTCCAGTATGTCATTTTTTGTAAAATCAATCGCTTTTCATTCACCCAGTAAACTGAAAACACATTTACAATTATTCTTTATGTATTGAACATACTCAGGAGAGATTTTCACGTCATTTTTGTGGAAAATATTTCGGTTGAACCACAGAATACACATTGTATGACACATATACATCCCAAACTGAACTCGGACATTCTACCCTAGACTTGTCAGCCAAAAAATACTCATGAAACCTGGCCGCGCTCGGCGGAATCAACCGGCTTTGTACAGTGTTCAGAACTGAGAGAAAGGGAACAACGGATGAACTCATTAAACTGGGTTTTTTTTCATTGCACACTTCCGCGTGATGAACAGCAGACGGGAAAAGCCCCATAGTCACGAGGACCTGCCATTCTGTGAAGGAAACCGGTAATTTAAGCCCCGGGACTTGGAGTGGGGAACCAGATAAGACCCACTGGGTGAGGTGTGGTACTGAACTGGACGACAGCACAGCTGCCTACCACCAAAGTTGGGTAGCGGTGGTGAAGCTCGAACCTAGGACCATAGGGCCCAAAGCAAGCGGTCATAGTGACTAAACCACTGTGCCACCATCACACTTGGACGAAACTTTAATCTTTGGGAAGCGGTCTGTACAATTCAGGAGACTTAATTTATGCTTGCTGACTAATGATTATACGTGATCACAACAAAAGATTATTGGGGAACCCTGGTCTTTTATCATGCTAAATGGCATACAGTTGTCATAAGTCTTCTGGAGACGAGTTTCGTTGAATATTTAACATGTTCAATACAAAAGGAATTACACTCAACACGTATCACTGGTAATATTATTATTCAGTACAAACCGTTTGTCTCGGTGGATTCAGGTGAATCAGGTAAAGAAATTGCAAGATTTTTTTCCGATCATTTGTGTTCCAGCTGAATAGCTAACAAAGAACAAGATGCACTGCCGGCTGTTGCACACTCTTGTGGTGATCAGCATCGTTTGGGGATGTGGCTGATCATAAAAATGAATGTAATCATTGTCAGTTTTACTATAATTTGGGGTGGGTTGAAAAAAACATCAATCCGACAAGACACGGACCAATGTTAATAGAAAAACGATGTTTGTGTGTTCGTTTAAAAGTGTGCGCGCAAACACCCACCGAAACGGGAGATTTTGGTTTCACGGGTTGGACCGGTTCCCACGCATCGTTTACACATACACAGACTATATAGATCGATCGGGATACATCCCAAAGATGTGGTACTTATCATTCAGGTGTACCAAATGTGCAATACAGCAGATAGCCCACCTCTGGCACTTGTTCATCGGAATGGATGCACCCAAAGTGCAGCTCCGAGTTAGGCGTGGCTGTGACAAATCATCAAATTGTTTGACCGCCATAGGTTACATTGTTAACAGAAGGGGTAGATTCAAGTGCTAAAAATTTGAACAGGATAGAGAGACGAACAAGAAATTGATGCAAGTACCCAGACAGATTTTCGGAGAAATAATAATCAACAGATTTTATCAAACATTTACGTACTGTATTCTTCCACATTCCATTGTTTCTATTCAGCCCGAATAGTTTTAAACTTAGGTAATAATAATGAATTCACATATCTACACGAACCAATTACGAGACGATGTTGTTGTTCAGTCTCATTGCCCTTTGTAATTTAATTCTTTTGGGATCTTACCTCGAAAAATAACCTCGATCTGACCTGTGGCGATATACTTCTACCAGGAGTATTTATTTGTTATGTATTATCCCACTTTATGGTTTCGTTTTACCTGCGATCAAACACCATTCATACTAATTGCATCGTAGCGATTTCCCTGGAATTTTCGATCACAACTAGATTTGAACCAAATGAGGACCACTCCGAATTTTCACTGCAGATGAAACCGATGTGCCCATCACATGGTTATCTCGGTTAACTTTCCAAGACCGTCACATACCGACCATCCCGCTCTGTTCCGGGCAAACTCAGATAAACTGTCACTTGAGGATTTTCCGATGAGAAAGACGGTGAACGATTACCATGCGGTCAACATGATTGTAATGGGTCCCAGGTGTGACTACCGTCACAGTCAAATCTCAACGATCAAAATCGTCGGGTGAATGGTCAGCTCTTATTTGCTCCGAAAATCACACCCATGTAATCGAACCGGATTACTCTCTTATCTGATGCCCGGAGAAAACCTCTCCTGACTCCTGTGAATATGCGGTGAACAAGAAGTCAGAAATTTATCGGCAGTCATTATTTTGAATCACAAGGAATAAGATTTTAGAGGTCCTTGCGACTTTCGGGCAGATTCACACAGTTAATAGGTTTGAACCTACCCTACTACAAGCGTTATTGACCTGAACGCCACTTACGAGTACAGCGCTGCTCATACATGCCCCGCTCGTCGTCGCCATCAGTCATACTGAGCTGTAGACAGACAAACTGATATCGCTGGTCTTTCGTATGACCGCTGGCTGATAGAGAGCAGACAGAGCATTCGGCAGTTGGACAATTTGACAAATTGTACCTATCAAAGGTCATAATCTGCCCAAGTCATGTACCCCCTAGGGATACTTCACACACAAATTGTTTGCCTGTGTGTGTGCGTGCCTGTGATGGTTCCGTGGACGGCACACAATAAGAATGCAAACAAAGCACTAGAATCATCTATCTCGACCACCCAAACCTTCAAGCTCCTGAAGGTCGTTTAGCGCGAGCAAGTACACACACACTCACTGGTATAAACATCTAACAAGCCTTGTCCTTTCACAGCACCAACGATTAGGGGAAAATCCCATCCAGCCAACAATTCCGCCGAGGTTGGATGATGGGGCCTGAAATCGAACTGTCAACATGATGGAGATGCTTTGTCTCGTGTGTGCATGGGGACCATTTCATGGGAAGGAAGGTTGGAGATATATACAGCTCGGTTCTGTTTTGCCGGGATTCAATAAGGTAAATTTGTGAAACGGAACGCTTAACAACAGCGGATTTGCTTTGAGCGGCCCTTCGGTCAACTAACACTTTCACTAATGAGCAGGGAAAATAGCGCGTCTTTTCTACGTGGTTTATTCACATGAAGCGATAGTCATAAGAACAATATTAACACAGAAACAATAGCAAAGTTTGTTCTATTTACGTCATGTACAAAAGTTCAAGGATGTTCTCCGGGAAGAATACCAAAGGCTACCAGCAAAAGTAGATCCTAATGGATCAGTAGCAGATAAA